TGTGACTGCACAGTTAAAAGAGTAGTGGAACTCGTGTTAACATTTTAATCTGGAAAAGGTTTTAAAAACTACAGCTTTAAAAGTAAAACAACAGAAAGTCCAGCTGTTCTTACCCAAGGCTGTCAGGGTCGAAAACCCGGTTGAGATCACAGTCAATGTACCTCGTGCACTTCTCCACAGCTCTGGGGTTGGTGAGAAATGGTTTCACTTCCACTCCAGGTCTTTGGATCTCAGCTCCGTTCTCTTGCCAGTGCCTGACCAGTAACACCCCCGAGAACTCATTGCCATGAGTTCCCCCGAAGATACCGACCCGTCTCACTGGAGCTTCAGCAAGAGCAGAGGAGGAGGAGGAGGAGGAAGTCATGCTTTTCAGCAGCTCTAACAATTGCTGAAGGCAAACCAGAAAATAATGGTAAAGTAAAACTTTTGCCTCCAAAAAACAATTAAAAAAAAAATTATTTTCAGTAGGAGACTCTTTAAGCCTGTTTAGGTCAGATGGGAAAGAAAGTGAATGAACATTTCTCAAACAGTTCTCGACTCCCGTTTTGAGGTGGGAGTTGCCAACCTGACCCTCCTCCCTCCCAAGGAGCCTCCCCTCCGGTTTCCGTATTTAGTAACGTCTCCAAGGCTGTTCATGGTACTGTTACACAGTTCAAAAGTTAACTTCTCCAGGAAACCTCTAATAATATATGCTATGTAGGTAAATCTTGCACTAATGACAGTAGAAAAGACTTTTTTTTAATGTAAACTTTAATAATGCACTTAAACATCTCTGACATTTTTGCTTGCAAACTAAGTGTAACAAGTATTCCCATGCATGTTTGGTTACATAAATATTACACTATACAAGGGCAGAATAATTCAAAGGGAGCAAAAACAGTAAAATAAGAATTATAACTCGGCTCTAGTCCAGCACATAATGCTGAAACATCAAGTATTTTAATCTAAAAAACCAAGAACAGCTGAGTTCCTCAAAGCATGCTGGGGCTTGTACGACCTTTTTTGTTTTCGAAATCTGAAGAACGGTGATTAGAAGGAACACGAGCTGAAATTACAGTGCAATTTATCCATGACTGACTTACCAAGCGTTCCTGGCTCCCCTTCTATCTCGGGATCTGCTAACACGGACCTCTAACACATTGAAACAACTTTGCCAGGGACAACCCTCTAACTTGTGCAGCCTCTTGCTAAAAAGGAAACAGATCTAGACCGCGATGGGACAATAGTTGTGTTCTTCCCCCCCAAAAAAACGTAGTCAGCAACTTTTCTTCCATTTCCAAAAGCTTTCAAAAAGGCTTCTGAAACTTAAGCCAAAGAGCAGCTGTAACTTCCATCCTGAGGATCAAAGCATTTAGAATAAACGATCTTAATAACAGAAAAGTTTTATTGTTGTCAGTGACAGAAGTATTTGCAATTAGTATCTGACACACAATATAAACATAAAAAATGCTACACTGCAAGGGAATAAAGAATGTTTATTGAACAATTCCTTGTTATTAAGATTACACTCCAGTGACTGAGAGTGTTTGGCTGGTGCCTGGGAGAGGCTTTATAACCCAGGCTGACAGACTGTAGGTCTAGGAAAAGCTAAACAGGATTTATCTAGACAAGTTCTGCCAGGAATATATTTCCTACAAAAGTTGCTCTCTCTGTTTCAGTTTATGCATTCAGACTTGCTGAACCTTACAGCAAGTTAATACAGAGTCTGTTTACTTAAACACTCGATTGTATTACTCCTGTACTTAGAAACTGTCAGATATTTAATCAGAGTAAGTAATTTATTAAACAAAGCAGTAAAGTTGTATTTTACAGCTCTGGACAGTCTGTACTGTCCTTTGACCTGTCTCTTCAGCGGTGGTGCCAAAATGGCCATTGACACACTGCCCAAAACCACAACTCGTGATCTGGATCTGGGTTTGCTGAATTTAAGCATGGCATCAGTTTGAGGAATAAATGGCAAAATGCAAACGTGCAGGGCTAGAACATATAATTTATCTTTTATTGCTTCTGGCAGTGTAATGGTTATAATTCCTTCCAGAAAGCTGAATGAAACACAGAGATCATCTGTGCACTTACCTCATTTAACATGCAAGAAGTTTGTCAAGAGCAGCGTTCTCAGGACAGTGACAGTGAATTTCCAAACACGAGTTTAGGAACCAAAGCCATGGAGGTTTCTTTTATTCCCTTAGAGCACTTACGGTCCAAACACTTTAACTCCTGGACTCCCAGGACAGGCACCCGCCAATTTGGGGATAAACGCAGACACTTGGAAAGCTTTCACTCCTCAGAATTAAACACTGGGACCAATCCCTTATTCCCTGTGCTTTGCCAACGTTTGCACTCTGAAAAATGATGTAGGATATTTAGTTTATTAAGAATTCAGATTGGCTTGGTGTGCTACAAACAGATATGTGGGAGTGCATCTGAAAGCTTGGAATGAGAGCCACGAGCTGAGAAACATATGTAATAATAATATGTAAATGAAATTAAGCCTAGCTATTAAGGTCATAAAGGTATGTGTATGTGTGTATATATATATATAGTGTATAGAACTGTAATGTGGCTCTCCAGAGCCTTCCAAGGCTGAAGAAAAACCATTTCAAAACAGGCTCCAAACACGCCAAGCACTAAGGTTTTACACAGGAACCAGCCAGGAATTTTACACAGTTGAAACCAGCCACGTGTGAAAGCCAGCACAGTGGTTGAAGAGGAAAACAGTGTGAAATTGTGTATAGTTTTATTTACATCCCCGTCTGCATTCACACATTTGTGGGGATTCAGCTCCTGCCCCATGTTCTCTTAGGCTGACGAGCAACACCAGGTGTGCCAGTTTACACGCAGTAATTAATTAAAAGTCCCACCGAGGACTGATTTAATGGTTCCTGGGGGGCCGCGCTCCTCGCCCCAGCCCGGCCCGGGGGGGTTCCCTCAGCGGGGCTCCCGCAGCGCCTTCCCGCCATTTCCGCCCCGCCTGAGGGGCGAGCGCGCGGCCGAGTGTCCGTTATTTTGGGCGGGCTTCGCCTCAGGGCTGCCCCTAACCCCGGCCCCTCATCCCTGTCCCGTCAGGGCTGCCCCTCATCCCTGCCCCTCATCCTTGTCCCTCACCCTTGTCCCTCAGGGCTACCCCTCACCCCGGCCCCTCATCCCTGCCCCTCATCCCTGCCCCTCATCCTTGTCCCTCAGGGCTGCCCCTCATCCCTGCCCCTCATCCTTGTCCCTCAGGGCTACCCCTCACCCCGGCCCCTCATCCCTGCCCCTCAGGGCTGACCCTCACCCCTGCCCCTCATCCCTGCCCCTCAGGGCTGACCCTCATCCTTGCCCCTCACCCCGGCCCCTCATCCTTGTCCCTCAGGGCTGCCTCTCATCCCTGCCCCTCATCCTTGTCCCTCATCCTTGTCCCTCATCCCTGACCCTCACCCCTGCCCCTCAACCTTGTCCCTCATCCTTGTCCCTCATCCCTGACCCTCACCCCTGCCCCTCAACCTTGTCCCTCAGGGCTGCCCCTCACCCCTGCCCCTCATCCTTGTCCCTCATCCTTGTCCCTCATCCCTGCCCCTCATCCCTGCCCCTCATCCTTGTCCCTCAGGGCTGCCCCTCATCCCTGCCCCTCAACCTTGTCCCTCAGGGCTGCCCCTCACCCCTGCCCCTCTTCCTTGTCCCTCATCCTCGTCCCTCAGGGCTGCCCCTCATCCCTGCCCCTCATCCTTGTCCCTCAGGGTTGACCCTCATCCCTGCCCCTTATCCTTGTCCTTCATCCTCGTCCCTCAGGGCTGACCCTCACTCTCCTCCCTCAGGCTCGCCCGCACTGCCGAGGCTCGCCCTGAGCTTACTGTTTCTCTACAGCTTTTTCTGTGGGTGTTGGTAGCTTATCTTCAGAAGAGGTCAGGAGACAACACGCTCTGAGCTCCTGTGTGGCGCAAAACTCTCTCTAAACTGAAATGTAAAGCTTGCGCGGTTTTATTTTACAGGTGTTTTAGTGGGGGCCATTAGGTTTCATAGCGCTAGGAATATGCTTTAAATTGTGTAACAGCAATGGACTAGGGGCTGCTTTAATGTTATCGCACCTGTAATTGATGTATCTCACAGAAGTAAAGACTAAATTGATCTATTAGTCAGCTGTGGTAGAAGCTGCACTTCATTCTTATTAACATCTTTAATAGCTGCGTACGGTTAACTGTCAGATCAAAATAAATGTAGAGGGAATGTCTTGTATTATTTATACATCTAAATATGTGGTATTATTCATGTGCCACTGAAGACATTATGCACCAGTAGCTAAATCTGATAGAATAGCAAGTAAAGCTGCACACAGTCTGTGTAGTATCCTCAATGTATACATAAAGATTACGAGTAGATTAATCAAAAAACAAATCTGGCAAACTACCTGTACCTAACATGCTAATATATATTTCTTCTACTGGTAATATTTGGCTTATAGTAATGTCTTTTTGATTTGTGATGTATTTTATGTACGAGGGAATTGGCTAAAGGTTTTAGGTCTGTTCCATGAAGCACAGAAAATAAGTTTATTTTTGAATCATGATGCTATTTTTCACATAAGAATTTAATTGGTTTTGTCTTCAAAGCTTTGTACCTTGCCATCACCTTTGGCTTCAATGCATAAGTATGTGTTTTTAAATTAGTGTTGCATTTCCAGGAATTTAAAAAACAAAACAACTCCTTGTATTTGGATGTATATATACTTTTAAATTCAGGAGTGAATTTAGTATTTTTCCAGCACTTAAAAAAAGTAGAGAATACAACTTTTACTTCAAAAATGTAATCATTTGGGCCCTTAATCTGCAAAGACCAGTTGCATATTATGTGTGTACCTGTGGATCCTCTAAATGCAGTACAGCTGCTTGTATGTTTTAGGCTCGTGTCTGAAGTGATGCCAGTCACTGGGTCTGCAGAGTTAGAGAAACTGCCATAAAATCTGGATGTGTTTACAGCATGAATTACTTTACTCTGCTTATCTAACTTCCATACAGCAAATTTGGAGTAATCAATACCTTGTTGCCTGTTAAGACTCGGCAAAGAAATGAAAAGGAGTTTAGCTGACACCTCAACTCGCAGCACAGCAGGTACCAGCCCTTGTTTTGCGCTTTACCATTCACACCTCACCATGCTTTTATATATAAATATATTTTTTCATATATAGGCACACACATACATATACATGCAGTGTGCATGCAGGATATTCAGTATTCAGCCCTAGATCCCCATTTCCTGAGTGGACTTGAATGGGTTACCTGTTTATTGCAGAACAGGGCAAGATTTTGGATGGATTCGAGGCACTGGTCACTCAGGGAAAGGTTCCATTCACAAGGTTACGTGCAGGACAGAGGGTTGGGAACATGAATTCTGTAAAGGAATGGTCTGTTATGTGTTTATGAAATGTAGTTCTTATGGGTGATGTAATGTAATTGTGAAGTCTGTGAATTTTATTTACTTATTTCAAGTGTAGATTGTGTATCTTTTTTTCCTATTAATATAGTACTATTACTTGAATTTTAATTTTAGGTTGTCTGCCTGTGCCACTGTTCAATCAGAAAAAAAGAACTAGACAGCCCCTCACTTCAAATCCACTTAAAAATGAACCAGGTGCCGGTCCTGGGACTCGTACTTATGACTTCTCTCCCACATCATTTGGTAAATAAGATATATTTTATTTTTGTAGAGGCTCTAAATCAAATAAATCTTAACTTCCTGGTTGTATTCTATGTAATCAGACATTGTCTTTATCAAGAACTATATGCACCCTTTATATCTATTTCTGAAAAGCTCATTATGTAAAAATTGTCCTCCAGGAAACTCCTTTCTCCTCTGTACAATTGAGCTTTTTATACTTTGTGCCTAGAGGGAGTTTGACTCTTTGTGTGTTGGAGAATGAAGTGGCACTGGCATTTAAATCGAGTCTCTTGAAACCGACCTTTTGTTTTCAGTTGAGTTCAATCAACATTCAAGTCCTGTGTTACAAGAAGAAACATTTATAAGATGTCTTTCTTGTAGTCCAGAAAGGAACTTCTGTTCTTCAGTTTGGGCTTGGAAAGAACAGTGTGGAATTCTGCCTTTAGTGCTTTCATCGTGGTCTACTTGTAATAAAGTTAAAAAGTTCCCTTATAATACAGTAAAAAAGTCTCTGTTGCTAATAAGTCTAATGTTTGTAAGTGAACTGTTGTCTAGAGAAGCAACCTACTTGTTAGAAGTTGCCTTATAATTACAGATATCAAAGGATCACATTCCCTTTTTATTTTTTCCCCTTCTCCTTCCCGTGTGAGCCTTTGTGTGGGACACTGGGCAGATACAGAGTAGGAGCTCTACATAACAGACCTATTACCTTTCAATCTTCTCTGTTTGTGCCCATAATCAATCCTTTGCCTTTTGAAAATTAGGCTGGGGGACTGCAAACCCAGAAGTGGCTGAACTGCAGAAAGCAGCAAACAGTGGGTATGTAAAAGCAGGTTATTTGTTGCTTTTGGATTTTTATTTGGATACTAATTGTTTCACAAACTATGATCTGTGTGTCTGTCTTACAATAAAGCTGCTACTATGTCACTGATACTTTAAACTTGTATTTGAAAGCCAAACAGAACATCAGATGGCTCCTTCCCTCCTGAAACCACCAAATGCATCAAAGTTTAATTTAGCAAATGCTGGAAAAAACTTGACTGCCTGCAGGTTGGTGGAGTCTTTAATGTCTATTACCCTTCCTTTTTTGTTCTCACGTGAAAATTCATCTTACATTTTCCCATATTCCTGGAGCATTCAGAGAGACCCTTTTAATTCTCAGATCATCACTGTAGTCCTAAATAGATGCTGTGATACTGAACTGTGTCTGACGTTGCATTGCAGGAACAGAAATGAGTATAATCCTTTGAATAACACAGCAGATCCAAGGTCTGACAGTGGAATCACTCAAAAGTTTGGGAACCTTTCAAACAGTTGGAAAACTGTCCAGCAGCAAAAAAACCCTGGTAACCGTAATTCATCTCAGCTCCTCAAAACAGAAACCAGCCAGCCAAAGACACCCAAAGGACAGTGGCCAGTGAAACCTAACCCTGTATCAAGAAGCCTGCAGGGTCATAGTCCGGCATATAAATTTAACTCCAATATTCAGCAAAATAAAATGAATGAAGACCAATTTGATTTTGTCCCAGAAGAAAAAAGTCAGGTAAAACTCATGGGGAGAGTTAATAGGAATACACAAAAAAAAAAAAAAACTGATGAAAGATGAAGCTTTTGTCAGCCCAAGCTGCCTTAGTAAACACTTAAGTTTCTGAAAATTTAGAATTGAGATTTTCATTCTATAATAACTACAATCCTCAGCATTATTTTATAAACGTAAAGGGAGTTGTTTGTATATTCTGAACAAATACTCTAATGTAAATATTGGCTATTTAGCACAATATATAAATGTCTAATGTGCCTTTTAAAATTAGGAGTGTGCATGTCTAACTTCAGCTTTTGTCTTCCTCTGAAAGGAAGTTCCATCATCCCAAATAAAAATGAGAGAAAAAAGGAATTCTTTGCGAATCCTGTCTGCAGTCATTGAAAGCCTGAGGCACTGGAGTCAATACTCTTACAGAACTGCTCTCTTATTCGAGGTCTTAGGTAAGCACAGTTGATTGGGCTGTAGATGATCATGATGGAAGGGCAACAATGAGAGAGAATTTTGTTCACTCTTGGCACAGTAGCTGAAATACTGAAACCCATAAAATGCTGCTGTGAGCACCATCTAATTTTCCTTCTGGGAGATCCATTCAGCTATCAAAGGCGACTGAAATAGATTCAAAATTATTAATTCAGTCATTTTCCAATATTTAAGCTTTCTCCGTGCTGTTTATTTTCTTTCCTGGTTTTTAGAATGTGCTACAATAAATTTTTCCATTTTATAGGAACTATCTGTAGAGAGGTGCAGTTTTACAATAATTCTTAATACAATTAATCCAGGAATAGATTCAAGTCTGGGGTACTTCCTAATATAGATACAGACTTTTAGTGTGTTACACTTTGCATTTAATTGATGTTGTCTGAGAAATGAATGTGACAAAAGGCTGAAATTACTAAGTTTTACAACAAGGTGAATAAGAATATATAATCTGTTGGCATCTCAGCTATTATTTTGACAAGACTGCAGATATTTAAAGTTGATTTGCATGTGTTCCCACACAAAGCTGATGCTGGCTTGATATATCTCAATGTTTTTGTGTGGTAAATGATGTCGTGATGTCTTGGTGTATCTTAGTACTGCTCTTTGTTTAGACCATGACTGATTTCTGTAAATGGCACAGGCACACTGGACTCTGCAGTCACACCTGGAGCTTATGGGGCAAAGAACTTCCTTCTGAGAGATGGAAAGGAGACCCTGCCTTGTGTGTTTTATGAAATTGTGAGTATTCTGTGTCTGAACATAACACACACACCACCAGCTCCAACCCCTTGTATGAAGTTAATAATATGTTGTTCTGATAAAGCAGAAATATTCTGTGTAAAAGGCAGGCTGGGTGTTTATACCACACTGATCCCAAACTAGAGCAATAATCCAGTCACTACTTAGGTATCCTTACACTTCTGTTTCAGAAAAAAAAGTTGGGACTTTCAGTTTAGCTTTTAAGCAGTTGATAATAACAAAAAACCTGATGTAAATTCCTTCTGTTTGACGTTCTTCAGAACCCAGCAATGCAGAAAGCTTTTGTGGCAGGTGACAATTGTTTTCTTTGTTTGTTATGCTTTGATGAAGGACCGTGAGCTTCCAAGACTAATTCGAGGCCGAGTGCACAGGTGCATGGGAAACTATGATGCAAAAAGGAACATTTTCAAGTGTGTCTCTGTAAGACCAGCAACTGCTCCAGAACAGAACACTTTCCAGGACTTTGTGAAAATTGCAGATGCTGAGATGGCAGCATATGTAAAAACAATGAATGAAATGTAGAAGTTGAAATGGATTCTCTGACTTTCACTGATCGTTACCCAGAAAGGCTGGACGTGCTGAAGCGTTTCCCAAAACTAACAGTGAGAATCTGGTTGAATCATTGGGAATATCACTGTGCTGTGCTAGCCAACAAATGTTAGTAACAATGTTTTGTTCTCACTGTTACTTTCTTTGGCTTTCCCAGTTAAATATTCAATAACAGGGGTTTGTTACATAGTAGATTAGACTTTACTGGATAAATTTAGAATTAAAATGCTGAAGTTTTGCAGTAGAGCAAGTGTCTTACAATTCAGATTCCCACTGCTTTTCGTTATCTTCAGTTTTGAGAAATTCCTTCAATACCTGGTTCAAAATGTTGACTGCATACTTATTTTGAGCAGTATTTGCTCATGGTTCAACAGCTAACAAACATCTCAGAGTTCTCTTTGGCTAGAAAGTAAAAAGATCGTCTTTATTCCTCTTGAGTTCCAAATAACAGGTGCCCTTTCCTTTGCTGGATGACAAGAACATGTGTAAAAGCTTTTCTAGAAATGAACATAATAATTACTCCATAAAGATTTCACAGGATGCAGCTGTATCTGCCAGCTATTCCTTGGGTTCCCATTTATATCCTATCTGATTATTTTTCTTTTTTTTAAAAAAAAAATAAATAATCAGTATAACACCTGTATAAAACAGCAACAGACCCTGAAGCTGTAGGCAGATTCCTCAAGGACACAGAGGAAGTTGAAAAGAAAGAATTATCTGAAGGCAGAACTTCCTTGCCTTTGCCATATAAACACCTTTCATGAGGGATGGACCATGTACATGTTTATGTGCCTTTGCCTTCAAACATTGACTTTCACAGGTTATTCCTGCTGTTTCTATTTCCTTTTCCCCTGCTTCAAAAGCTCAGTAGCAGATCTGTTGGGAGTTGTAAAACAAAAGACTTGTCAAGAAAATAGCAAACAGGATGGGGCTTTTTTATTATTTTATTATACAGTGTTGGCAATTGGAAATTTCACATTTAAAATAATTGAAATATTGTATCCAACAAGTCAAATACAGAAAACAGTTAATATTCTAAAAAGGAGCCAGCTAGTCAACGCAGAAACACATTAATGGAAAATACAGCTTTTAGTTACACTTAAAAAATTATATATTTAGAATAAAACTTGAACCTGGTCCAGTAAATTGTTCGACTTGCAACAGGAAAACGCTTGTACACAGTTTAACGCGCAGACAGTCTCTGGTTAAAAAAGTGATCTGTCAGTGTCAGCACATGTATTGTCAGCAACAGCCCCCTAATGTTCCAGTCGAGATCTAAGGTGTGTGCTTTACTAACTGCTGTAAGAATCACTTGCATTGTCACCTCCACCTTCTGTGCTAAGCTGCTTCTGAGCAGGGATGTGTCAAGCAGAGCTTTGTCTACCCACTGGTCATGTACATGTCTTTGATTCCTTTGATGTATTATAAAATGGTAGAGGAGGTGGCACATGGAAGCATCAGCTTAACTCACAAAAGGTGCAGAATATTACAGGATGCAGAGGCTGATGATGTTCCCAACAGAAGCTGAGGTTTAAGGAGCAAAGCATTTGCTACAGCAGGGTTGTGAATGGTAAGACTGCTGTAACAGTCATTTAAAATTACAGAGGAAGCTTCAACTCTGGGACCAGGCCTGTTATCAACACCCCCCCAGAGCTGCAGTCCCACTGATTCCAGTTGAATGATTGATGCTTCCAGTTCTGCACTTTGAAAGTTGCATTAAAAAGTAATGGCAGGAAGAGGTCGTTTGTGTCTACTGGGTATGTTCTGGCTGTTAATAAAAATCTAAAATGATTTTACTTTCAGTAAGTGTTCAGATCTTTGCAAAAAAAAAAAAAGTTTCTACTTTACACTAACAAATCACTTTTTCTAGTGAAACATTAAGTGAACAGTTGTAAACATTACACAAAACAGAAAAATCCCTACACAATACAGTTTATACACACTACTCAACATTTTTCAGTTGTTGGGTGGTTGATTTATTTTTTAACCATATTGATCCTGTCTTGTATAATGGTTCTAGTGTAAAGGCACAGGTTGGTTAGGAAAGAAAAGCCTGCATCTCTGTCTCTTTACTTCATGGTGATTATTTTCTTTTTGCATGTTGTTTGTTATTCCTCACTTTTCTGACTCTTGTATGAAAATTATCCATTTCAGCCATTCATTAAAAAAAAAGTGTAAGACATTACTGAAAAGCACATTACTGTACAGAAGTGACTGAAATTTATTCTTCTTACTTTAGGGCATTCCTTCAACCTATTTTGTTAAATATTTAGAAGATTTAATTTCTTAGTCCCTGAGAGCAAAAGTGCATAGCACGTGCTCTCTCTTTCTTGGTGTACTTCAGTCTATGTTGGAATCTGTATTTTCAGAGATTAATATTGGAACTTGAGAAATTTATGTGCAGAATTTGCTTTTAGAGTGCCTGGAAATGTAACAACAGGACAATTATTTTGGAAAACAGCACAACTTTCCATTGAAGTTTAGAAGGGTGAGGAATGTAAACAAGACTGCAGAAGCCTTTGATGTATATTAAGATAACACAGTGATTGTTCCATCTGCATTTTCTTGTACATCCTCAACATGTCTCTGTCTGTCCCTTCACAAACACCTTCTGTTACAAACAGGAAAAATGCAGGAATCAGCTGGACCCAGCTAAGTGAAGAATAATAAATTTGATCACCTGGTTTGAGCCAAAACACAAAACTACAGCTCTGAATTAAATATAAGCTATGTGATTTCTCTTTTTTTTTTTTTTAATAAATAATAGAAAATAAAAGATGAGAAGACAATTAGAATTCTATTTTTATCTAAAAGGAAAACCACAACAGGTAGGTGAGATTAGAACCCAATGTTTCTTTTGCTTAAGGCAATCAAGTGCACTTATTTCAATGCTTGATAGTAATGAGTTCAGTGCTATTGTGGAAATCAGACCTCGCAAAATTCCCCTACAGACTAATGAAATATGGCCATTTGCTCGTGTCTGACACAGCATCAGATTCTTATTAGTTGTGTTGAGTAGCATTTCACTTCACTTTTGTCTTTTTACAGCAATGGACTCCCAATTGTAATGGAAATGTCAGAATCTGCTTCATTCCGGCTTGGATTATCACTACATGTAAGGGCCATCGGGCACAGGCAGTTTTGTAAACAGTGATTTTTGTTTTCAGCCTTAAAAAACAAACAATACACCCCAAAAATCTAAAGTTGTAATAGTTCAAGGGATTTTATAAAATTCCACCTAAAATTATAATTTAAGAAACACCAAAACCCAATTCTTAACATTTTTTTCCCTCTGTTGTTAAAACTATTAAATCATCATGAAGCCTTTGGAAGCAGATAGATCTCTCAGAAAAAAAAAAAATCTAAATGACTCTAAATCTTGGCAATGAGAGCAGTAGTAAAAAGTGTGCCCAAAACTTAAAATACATAGAGAGACTAAAAAGAAACTTTTTATCTTGTATACAATCCTTTTTAGCCACCAAGCTTAATTTTAGGCCGTGGCTACCAGCAGGTGCTTCTTCTCACTAATCAAAACAATTGTAACAAAATATCATTACTGATTTTAAAGTTATTGGGTTCCAAAAGTTTTGATGTCTAATAATAATCTATCAAAAGTGAATTGAAGCTTTCAAGACTTAGGATTTTGAGACACAAAAGAAACTGGGAGGTAGACAGATGTTTTGAGGATAAACTGATTTTTCTTTTTTTTTTTTTTTTTTGTCTAAGGCATTATGCCACTGTGTGTTCAGAGCACTGTAAAGGCTGCTGATTAATTGACTTCAATTCCAGAGTGTTCTCTGCTCGTGCTTACGGAAGACTAGCAATGCACTTTTGGTCTTTGTGAATGTGACCTTCTCTTCCCCAGCTCCTTTCCCCTCTTCAGCTAACACAGCTAACTGGAAGTGCTATCCTCATCTCTGCCCATCACCTGCAGACAGGAAGGTTCTGCTCTTACAACAGGAAGAAAAATACTATAAAATAGTAGGTATTGGAGTTGGAGATATGTGCTCTTTTGGTGCATATTTCGCAAAGAATGGTAAAAAGACAGACAACATGACCCCAACAATTGCCAGCATGTACCCCCACCCAATCTGGCAGTCTCCTGCATAGTAGATGTCTGAGTTCTCACAGAATCTCTTCACAGTAGCAGAGTTGAACCCAAAAGGGTAAACCAAAAGCCCAGAAGCCATAATGAACACTGGAGAGGAGAAAGAAAACACACCAGTTATTATCCAACCTTCATTCCCTTGGGAAAAAAAAAATAAAATCCTTATCTTAGAAAGGCAAATATATATTAAAATCAATGGGAAAAGTCATAGCTTAAAACACCCCTTATGATTGGCAGATTCTCTCTTCCTTTTCATAATTACCTCTTGAGCACAGCAGTGGTGGGACATGGGATTTTTTCATGAGAGTTCTTGCCATTACAGAACTTCAGAAACGCTGCAATCCAAATTAGGAAGCCATGTCAAAAGTATGATGAGTCAGATATAATGGAATCCAGAGGAGACTTCCTAAGTTTGCAGATTCCAAACCAGCTCCATTTTCTTCTCAACAGCATTTTTGTGCTTGAGACAAACAATTACTTTGTTCTGCCAAATAAAAACTTCCAGTGAAAGAGTTCAAATGTAGGTTTTCAGATTCTGCTCGTGAGGTTCTGCTAATGGGAGCACTTTCTCATTATTCTCATTAGTACAGACTGCAAATTGTTTAAAAAATCCCAAAGAATGTGAGATAAAAAAACCAATTCAATAACTTTTAGCAGTGGGCTCTGTCACTACAGGGGCTTGAATCCCTCTGTAAACTTAAAGATTAGAAAAGTTTTCAACCTAAGGTTGAGACCTAAAATGCTAAGACCTAAAGTTCTTATAGAATTTTGACAGCTTGGGCTCCAAAAGCATGAAGTAAATATAACAGGACATGCTGTAGAAATCTAAAGGTTTGGTATGTAAGGGCACAGAGATAAAGAAAGAAATTTCTCCAAGTGAGGCATCTTTTACTCCTTCCAGCCTAAGAGGTCTAAAATACAAGCAAAGCTTAAGCCCCCCTTGATTTTGGAAAGCCAGACTTGCCTCCTGCAATTCCCCTGCATTATCCATTAGCTTTTAATAGTCCTGCACAGATTTTTAACACGTCACATTTAGAGATCATGGTTTACACAATTCATTTAATGAACATCAGGAGCACTTCTCCAACTTTGAAAGTAAGACAGCCCAAGGTATAAATGCTGGCTATGACAGAGAGGGACTGAAATGCTCCAGGAGCAGCTCTTGGAGCTGTTTCTGCCCACCCTGGGAGAGAAGAGGGGCCGAGCCAGGCTGATGTGAGGGGGTTTCACCATCCCAGCACTGTGTGGTTGAGAGAACACAGAGAAAGTGTCCTCTTCTCTATCCTTTCTGCTCATGAATTACCACTGCATTTTAAATCTAGAGTGTATTTTAAAAGGCTTTGTGTTATGTACTGAAAAGACACCATGGGGCAGTCCCTTTTCCTGCCTTCCCATTCTTCCAGGATATTGTTCTGTTCAGATTCAGGGTAGTGATTCAAGAATAGCAGCAATCAGAATTAACAGTTATGTTTGAGCTGATAGATAATTCATCACCAGCAAACATCTAATGAAACATTAGGATTATAAAACAAACACTCCATGCTATTCTCTGTGTTTGTAATTGCCTTTCAGGTGGGGCACATGCATATGACTCCAATTATCATATTGGAGAGGCTTAATCTTAAAAGTATCCACTGAAAAACAGGCAATCTCTCATTAATCTTTTTTAATTAAAAGCCACTTTAATAAGCTTGAGGGCTGGATGAAGTCAGAAAGTTTAACACACTCAGCCTGCAAAGCCCCTGAATAATTTGAATTAAATCTTTCCTTCTAGTCTAAATGGAACTGCTGAGTTAATCCCTTGCAGAAAAGAGTAAGAGGAGAGAAACTGGAGCAGCAGCAAAACTGCCAGCGTGTTCCCCTGGGGGGATCTCCCAGAGGGGCACAAGGAGGAGCTCCTGCCAAGAAGTGGAGCTGTCAGAGCCAAGTGTTTCACCTGCCCTTGCTCCCACCAACACCTTCTTTCCTTTGAGCCTCATGAATAATTGTTCAGTGGTTGCTGTGGCCTTCCTCTCTTTCCAGGCACGAGGTGATGATGCTGCAGGAGCCAGTGAAGGGAAAAGTCCTTCCCAGCACAAGGAACATCCCCAGCACATCTCACACTCCCTGATCCTCAACCAGCTGCACCTGCTGCAGGTGCCCAGGACAGGAAGGAGCCCACAGACCTGGGCACTGAGATCTTGGCAGCTGCATTTAGGGTCTGACTTTACCCAAACACACAGGAGCTGGAGGTAAATACAAAGAAATAAGTTATGTTATGCAGATCTCCTCTCACTACACACATGTGACACCACTAAAAACAACGTAAAATGAAAATACAGTAAAAATGGAGCTAAACTAGACACACACACACATCTCTTGCAACAGGACAAGGGGTAATAGCACAGTCCCACAGCCACCCAGGCTGCTCGACTGCATGAGGAGCCTCAAACAGCCCCGGGGTGCAAAACCTTCTGTAAAGTGTTGGCAAAGTGAGCCAATTTTAAGAGGAACAGCCACTGCTCTAAGCAACAATCAGGTCTGAAACTAAAATTACAGTTTGTTCATCTTTTAAAGCCAAAACAGTCCTCACCATTTGGTGAAGAAAAAAAGTGATGCAGAATTGGAAACAATCTTTTTTTTAATCCTTTGCTAACTGTTAAACTTTTTCTGACCTTGTCTCAGCCCCTTGCTCTGCTTCACATATCTATCCATGTATGTTTCCTTTTTGATTGGGTTACACAGGATTATTTTGAAGGCTGTGCTTGACAGCCACGCCAGTGTTTTGATTACCACTTGGTGCTGATGTTGCACGGTGTGATCTGATGGAGGAAGCTTTATTTTTTTTGAAGGCTCCAAACAATCTGTCGCAGCTGAACGTGCGTGTTCACATAATCAAACGGGCTAAAAAGTTACCCGCGGTTTCATATCCTCAGGCATGTCATAGAATGACCTCATTATTCTCATTTGGGTGCCCTTTTTTCTTACAGAAGGCTCCAAATACTGAAGAGCCCGTTATTACCCGCAGCAGCCAAGCTTTCAGGCACGGTGCTAATGACTCCTTAATGGGGCTGTCTGTCAGCAGCACAGCGAGCTGGGAGAGCACACAAAGAAACAGTGGGGCTCCATTTACGCTCCTCATGGAACACTTACGCCTCTGCACGGCTTTCCAACAACAAACAGCACTTTGAGAGGTGTCAGAGTACAGCAGTGAGAGCGTTTCGCCCTCCCGCGCGGGGTAATCCTGCTGTCATACAAGGCCAGAGAACATCTTGGGGTGTGTTCCACAGCGCGAGGCCAATTGAGTGTGAGGGGACTCGCTGGCAAAACGAGGAGTTGAGTTCTGCTTTTAACATGGCTTATCATCTGATTCATCTCCCATCAGGTGTTGGGTCCTGTTAAAAACATGCTTTTCTTTGTTTGTTTTTTTAATCTGACACACAGTGTCTGTCACGGCTGGGTCTGCATCACCCCGAGCTGTTTGTCCTCATCACCTGAGTCCTCATCACCTGAGTCCTCCCCAGTAACTCCCAACCAGTGCTGACTGCAGGGCAGCCCAAAGGCAAGGCCAGCACAGCGGGTCAACAGTAAGTCATGTTTTATTTCTGCTTTATAATCTCCTGCCCTCCCAAACAGTTCCAGTCTCACCCTCATCCTTTCTGCTTCCCTGCTGTCCTACAGCCAGCTGGTAAATGGCACTTTCTCCTCTGAAGGGTTTGAGAGACAAGGCCTGGGTTTATTTTTACCAAGTAGATTTCTGAATTTATTCGATTTCTAAAGAAAACAAAGGAGGGCACTTCTTCCAGGGCAAATGGGGCTTTTTGTAGCAAAAAAATTGTTGCTGATAATACTGAATCAATGACAGTTCTACTCAAGGAAAAAAGAATTTGCTGCGATTTTAAAACCCAATAATCTATATCTCTTTATCACTGCAAGGGTTTATTCATTTCATTAAGCTCCTGTAAAACTGTTTAATTATTTAAATCCATCACATACCCTTTCCCAGTTTATTCTAAACCAAACCAAAGCACTGCAGTTCTCTGGAGTGTGTGCAGAGGGCACCAATGTACAACAACAAAAAAAGGCTACTTCCATTTCCACTTCTTTTGGCAAGACTGATGGACTTTTCAACATATGAAACACAATAATTGAATAGTTTTCTGTGTTGGGAACCAGGAATGTTTAAACTTGGCTCAGCTTGTGTTTATCCTTCCATACCGGTGTCGAAATGGATGGAAATCCAGAGGTGGATCCCAAATACAGAGAACAGAAGAGGCTGTTTTATTTTATTTTATTGTGTTTGTTAGTGTGTTTAGATGATGTGTAGTAGCAATACTGATCACCAGGAGAAATATATGATGTGTGCATGAATTTTCTTCCTGGAATTACCTGCTGTAATGGGATTAGTTTGTCTTAAAAGTTTAATTTGTTTACTTTAGGAGTATATTATCTTCCTGATACCTGTGACAATGACAGATTAATTGCAAGCTTGTGGGACATATCAGAAAATCATTAGAATTAGGGCTGAATCATAAGCAAGCAAGAGTATTGTTCCAACCCTATTACAGATTATCACAGTCTTATGTCTTCTTGGAAGATTTTTATTGACAGAGCTTAATCTACCAAAGCAATTTTCACTCATCTCATCAAGAAGTTTCCTCTTACATATAATCCATTACCTCCCTTATTAAAGCTGGCAGCTCTTCTTAGGCACAATCAGCTGACTTTGAATAACACATTTTGTCTCAGTTTCATCCATTTCATTAACCTAATAATTTTATTAGCTCCTCTTCAGCTTTTCTTTATGTTTATGGGATTTTACTGGCATAATTTAAAATGAGCAAGCAGATGCTGATATTTCTGTAGCATGCCTGGAGGGTTTCTACATTTGGGGTATTTTGGGCATATGTGGTTTAAATTCTTGTACAAAAAGGAGGTACCTGCATATCTCTTCCATATATATCTTTTCCAACAACTGGAAACCTAAAGACAAGGCTAAATAAGATCCAGGGTTATTGTTGGCAATAGCTGCACATGAGTACAAATAGAAACAAGATGGAATTTTGGGCTATCAGCAAACTTAGAAATTTCCTTTTAACTACTTCAGAAAA